CCAACAAGATTATGATTCTAATAATGATTACTCTTAAAAAGCTGATGTGCTGCTCTATCAAAAAAACTTCTATAAACGGTCAAATTAATTTCCTTCGTCAGTTTTTATTTTAATGTGATTTGTCGATTTTGTCTTGATTGAAAAGGCAACACTAATTTCACAGGCATGCGATCCAGTTCAACAAAAATGTGAATCTATAGTTTGTTTAAATTAAACAAAGAGTAAAGGAGAAAAACTCTATTGCTCAGAGTTCTCAATAATCAATTTGTACGTATAGATACTGTAATCTTCTTAGAATTTTTCAATAATTTACTATTGCATTAAACACAAAATATTCATTAACAACTAAAAATTAACCATTGTTTCTTTTTTACAAAAATTCTTTTTATTTACTTTTTAATTCACCAAAACTAAAATCAATTGAAGAAACAATATTCTCGGTAAATCTTTTGCTTGTAGATCATTGAATAATAAAGAAAATTTTCTGAAAAATAAAAAACAATTATATTTATTCTTAAAAACATTCATCATAAAACGAAAATAAATTTTTAAAATTAATCAATATCTTTCTCATTTTATCGGAAAGTTTTAGAACAAAAATATTTATTTCAAAACTAATTATTTATTCTTTTCTATCTATTTAATGAAAAGTTTTATTTCAAAAATGAATGTTACATTTATTTCATTTTTTTATTTTAGTTAAAAATAAAAAAAATTTAGTTCATCCGATGAAATTTGATTTTATTCAGCAAAAATTTTTTTTATGAACCAATAATTTCAAATTTTTGGATTCGATTATTCTCTTGATCAGCGACATAAAGATTATGTTTAATATCAAATGACAAACCACTAGGAAAAAATTGATTTGTTTTTTTTCTTTGACCAATTTCACCAATAATGATTGAACCTTCAGAACAATTTTTACACCAACGCATTACTCGAGAATTCCAAAGGTCTGCCACATAGATTTGACCCTCAGGATCAACAATCACTCCTTGAGGATTTGACAATTGTTCAAGATTATCTCCTTGACCATTTCCACCAGCAACAACGATTCCTTCTTTCGCACCTTTTTTCCATTTCATCACACGATGATTTCTCATATCGGACACATAAAGAGAATAATTGTCATCAACAAAGATATAAGTAGGAACATTAAGTTGATTGGAATTATTTCCTTTTCCATTTCCTCCTGCAACTATTGTTCCATTTGTATCTCCTTCTTTCCATCGTCTTACTTCATTTTTCGTCGAATCAGAAACATATATGGATCCATTTTTGTCCATTGCGAGACCATAACAGTGAATATTAGAAATAAGAATTTGTTGATTTGTTTTATTTTGTTTTGACAATCGAATCACTCTTCTGTTCATAAAATCACAAATGATCAAAGAATTCCTTTGTTTGTCATTAATTATGCCTTTTGGATAAATCAACCGGTCAGTTTCATGTTCATACTCATTTCCACCAGCGACGACTTGACCATTCGTTCCATTATGTCTCCATTGAACAATACGATGATTGAAAAAATCAGCAATATAAATTGTTGTATCATTATCAATAAAGATTCCTTGAGGGCCATCGAGCTGACTTAATTGATCTCCTATTCCATTTCCTCCAGCAACTGTAATTCCATCTTGTTTCCATTCCCGATCTAAAATTGTAGATAATATTTTCATATAACGTTTATGAAACTAAAAACATCTTTTGCTGAATAAAACTTTAGAACCTATAGTGATTTGCTATAAAACAGAGAGTAAGATGTTTCGAGACATCGGCATGTTCGAAAATCTACAAAATGGTTTTTCGGGCGGGTTCACGTTTCTTAGGGAACAAGAACACTGATACTCCTATTCCATATCTTAGTGACCTTACAGTACTAGCAGTTGGACATGATTTTGATATAAATTATGTACCAGTAATAGATAAATTTTAAAGCAATCTCAAGAATTAGAATTTTGCCGTTAAGTTGTATTTTTAGGTTTAATCAATAAAATAGCTGTCTTTTCTACATATATTAGTGTGGACACTTTTTAATTATACGAACTAAGTAGCATCTTTAATGGAATAAAACATTCGAGGAAGTGTTCACTTTACTTTTTGGTGTATTGGAGATTGGTGGTTTCGTCGTTGTCTCATTGGAGCCACGTCCACGTAATAGGGTAGCAATCAGTACATATATCCCAATCCCAAGCACCATGACAAGAAGAAGGATAAATCCAAAGAGAAGGTATCGTAGTGTATTTCGATTTCCAATATTTGACGATTCCGCCGATGGTCTGCCTAAAATAGACGAAAGTCAGGTGTATTGTCTAAAATTGCAAGATATACTTTCGTTGACAACATTGGTTACTTGCATAGTTGTAAGTGAATGCTCTTCGAATTAGACTATTTTGAAACTGCATAGTTCCTCTATCGTGAAAAAATGCAGAAAACACTTAAAGAGTCATAGAAACTGTGTATAACGGTTTGCTTGGTGTGCAGGTTACTCATCACCTCTTCAGATAAGATTTTTGTAAAACTATGCTGACCTAACCAAATACAATACAGAGACATTTTTTAAAAATTCTCTCAATTATTTCGTGATTACACAGACTTAAAAACCTCAAAATTCGACCATAGATAATGCTCACTTATT